AAATATATATACTACAGAAGAGCTTAAGATAAAAAGTAACAGCACTCTACATGTATTAATGCATTTCATCATAGACTCGGTTACAAAGATTAATAACAAAAGCAAGAAGACAAAGACAATGTTTGGTCTTCCCCGCCAAAAACCGTTAAAGGCAAGCAGCAGTAAAATCAGCTAGCTTGGAGGCACTGAAATTGCAACCGTCTCCTTTAATTCTCTGGTGCTGGTGGGTAGGGCCAGGCGGGTCCACTATTAAAGAGCCTGGAGGCTCGCAGCACCTTACCCAGCCCGAGGCTGTGAGTGAGAGCCAAGGCCACGTGACGTCGCCCGGCGGCACTCTGGCTTTCCTGGAGCAGTCTCTATGGTATTCTTCCTAGCCTACCCACCCCTTGGGTAGCGGCAGTCACGTGACAGGCTCTGGGTTTACGGCAGGTGCCCACGTGATCCAGGCCTGCAGTCGGGTGGCTGCGGTGAGGTATCTGGGCTCCTGAAGGGCGGGCGGTTAGGTCGTAACGGCCGCCGCCGGTGGACTGTCCCGGGCTGTCAGGCTTAGGAGCAACGAGCCGGCTGAGGTGTCCACCCCTTAGTGCCTACGGCACGGGTCGGCTCTTTTCTGCCACCTCCACCTTCGCGGTCCCTACCTCTTTGCGGGTGAAGTCACCTTTTCGGGTTTTGAGACCTTGGGGCCTGAAGCTCAAACTTGGGACGAACCCTCAATCCACCTCTCTTTTTCTCTCATCCTCCATCTCTTCCTTTGTACCACCGAATCACTCGGCCTTTAAGCTGGCCAGCTTGGCTGCGCCTTGAGGCCAAGTTCGGGGCAGTAAAGGTAACCGCGGGGAACGCGGCCCCCCAGTGGACAAAGGCGGAGGCAAGAATAGAGCAGGCCTAAGGGCCGCAGGCGATGAGAATAGGCGGTTGAGGGGGGTGAACGAGAAAACAAACCAAAAAAAGAAAAAGAGTACTGCGAATTTAGAAGGGACTGGAAAGGACTTGTTGCACGATGGAAGAATCTGATTCTGAGAAAAAGATGGAGAAAGAAAATCTGGGGCCGAGAATGGATTCTCCGTTAGGGGAACCGGAAGGATCGCTTGGGTGGGTGAAGGGTATTATGTCAAATCTGGAAGAGGGGGTGTTCTAATTGAGGCGAGTTCTGGCATTAGAGCACTTGCCCCCACTCCCCAATGATAAATTGCTTGATTTACCAGTAAGGTTGATTGGTATCATGCTTTTCACTGCAGGATAAACTGGAAAGCAGAATGTTGCTAACTGAGCAGAAATAACCCTTAGGACAGGGCTGATATTTCTGGTGGTGGTGGTGGGGTGTTCTAATTGAGGAAGCACTTCTGAGTTGCTTTGAATTATCAGTAAAGGAGACTTGATATCACCATTTTGGGGATGGTGAGACTGGGAAGAGGATTAGCATTTCCTGGTCAGAGACTAGAGGCTTGAGAGTGCCTTCGTGCCAATTTGTAACTGCATTTTGAGACTCGTATTATATGTGCTTTGTGCCTGTGATGAGTGAAATATGGCTTGGAAGGAAAGCTGAAGGACTAAAGATACTTCCAGCTTTTAAAAATATAAGGCTGAAATTTTTAAAAATAGACAATATTCAAATATGAAAATATTATTTGACTTATTAAAACACCTGTATGTGTTCTTTTGATTAGTTTTTCGTGATGAGGAACAATTGAATTTGAATGGCTTATTTATATTCCTAAAAATATCTTCCTAGGAGCTATCTCCTGAGCTCCTAATTAGGGGGATAAGGAGTGTAAACCCAGTTTTATAATTTAGGAATATGGGCGCCTCTGCTTAGCTGAGGTCCCACACACAACTGTACTCAGTTGTTGTACTAAATATGCTCTTTTGCACCTCCACATTTATTTATATTTCTTTAATTTCAATTTTTAAGGCAATCGGATCATGGAAATTCTGTCTTTTGGTTTATATCTGCAGGTGGGTGCTACCAAATACAGCTATGAAGAAAAAGGTAAGACGTGTTAAGTACATCAAAAACATGACGGTAAAGGTAAGAGCTTGCTATTCAGGAAATACATGGTGTAGTGGGGGTTATATATATAATAGATATCATCTTTCCTGGACTATTGCAGGAGCCTTCTACATGATCTTTCTGTCATCCCCTTCTTTCTTATCAGATTTAATTTTTCTTTTTTTTTTTTATTTCAGCAAGTTATGGGTGTACAGATGTCTAGGTTACATGTGTTGCCCCCCCCCCGAAGTCCGTGTTTCAAATATGTCCATCCTTCGGGTAGTTTAATTTTTCTAATGTATAAATCTGACTGGATCATTCACATACTGAAGAACTTTTGGTAACTTCCCAAAGCCCATGGAATAAAATCCAAATGGATTTTAAAATAATGACTTAAAAATCTATTCCTGAGTACCTATGCACCCTATCAAAGTCATACAGAATTTGTTCTCCAGATTTACAAATTGATTTGCAGTTTGTGCGAGCCATACACACACACTACATGAGCTTCTGCCTGCACATGTACTTTTAACCTAACTCAAATTTTACCACTGTAAGATCTTACATGAGCTCTCCAGTTTGAATTGGGTACTCCTTCCTTTGTGCTCTTCTGGTACTGTGCCCCACCTTGAGGTTCAGGCAGAATTGTTAAGAACACAACTCTGGAGCAAATTTCTTAACCTGGGGCTTCCTTTTCCTCATTTGTAAAATGGTAATAATAATATTACCTATCTCATAGGGTGGTTGTGAAGTTTAAACGAGTAAATGCCTATAAAGCACTTAGATCATTACCTAATACAGTTAGCCTTGTAAGTCTTTCTATAACCAATCGAAGCAAGATTTTTCATTACAAAACAAAAGAAATGTACTATATTTAGCATTAACTTCATCTAATAATTTAGATCTGTGACTCCAGTTTTCTAAGGGAATGTTCTTGATGAGCCTGTCTAAAGTTGCCGTCAAGAAGGATGCCTAAAAATACCAGAAATTTCTACATGATTAAGACCAAAAATTAGCTTGATTTTATCATTCCGTGATATATACATATATCAAAACATCACATTGTACCCCCTGATATATACAATTGTTTTTGTTCTTTTTTAAAATTTTTAATTAAAAAATAAACTTTTTTGTGGCAACTTTAGACTAGCTCATCAGTGATATTTCCTTAGTAAGATAAAGTTATATAGCTAAATTGCTAGATTAAATCAAACCTGAATACAGTACATTATTACTAATACAACATATATTTGTAATTAGAAATTTTTGTAAAATATCTTGGTAGAACATGGATCCCCTTCATTTGGAAAGCAAGGTAATTAGAAATATATTTCATAATTTTATTTTGAAAGGATTTAAAAGTCACTTTTACTCAGCTCCCTTCTAGTGTAAGAATATACAGCATTTTGATAGATATTTTACTCTCTGAAACACTGACATTGACAAGAAGGCTGTTTACCTTCATAAGGACCACCCTTTCCACTGGACAATTCTCATTGTTAAAAACTCTCTTGCATTGTGTCTTTGTTTTGATAACTTGCTCATTCTTTTAGTGAGCATACTTTGAGCATCTGTTATATGTTAGGTACTGGAGATACAAAGGGGAATCTCCCCTTTAGGAGATCAGAGTCTTATGAGAGACAGACCCCCCCAAAAATTAGTAACTCAATGCATATGGTCTTCGTAATGATATAACAGTGCCGTGGGAGGACAGAGCTAAGACAGTTAAGTCAGTCTAGTGCATTGGGGTCAGAGAAGCTTCTTGAGAAGATGATTACTGAACAAAGTCTTAAAGGATGAGTGAAACTTAGCTGAAAGAAGAAAAGAGATTGAAAAATTACTGGCAGGGAGTACAACATGAAACAAAGGCATAGAGGCAGTACCTCTCAGAGGGCTGGGAGCAATCAAAATGACTACCAGCAGTTAAGTTATGTGTGGCTGGATGTTAAAAGTTCCAGGCCAGGAGGGGCAGAAGATGAGGGTAGAGAAGTAGATTGGCTAGATCAACGAGGGTCTTATATGTAATTTAAGGACTTGATCTTGTAGGCCATAATAAGCTTTGGCAAAGAAAAAGAAGAGACAGAGTAAATAATGGAAAAAGATCATGGAGGTGAAAGGGATGTGAAGAGGATGAGATCAAGGATAGAGGTGGAAAGGTTGACCTTGAACAGAAGGAGAAACTTTAAGTTAGACTGAAATCCCCTGATAGATAGTTCAGTCCACAAAACTTTATTGGATTATGAGAGAAAATGGTTCAGTTTCCTCTCAAGATGGTACTTTTCTAATCTGGTTCTGAATATATTAATAATGCATATTAGTAACATAAATTCACTGCAGTTCTGTCACCAAGAGGACGTGTGACCTGTGACAGGTAAGTGCCTGGCCCCTGGAATTCTGAGGATCTCTGCATTCACTGTTGGTCGGGGAATAGTATCTGCACCTGGTTGTTAGTACTGTCACTTCAGTAAAACATCAAATGCAGGAGAAAAATAGATCTCTTTAGACTGGATTTATTCTAGATTGTTAACTTTTTCCCTTCTTTTTTCCCACTTTGTCTTTAGGTGCTGTTGATGGGTAAAAGTGGGTCTGGTAAGACCAGCATGAGGTCTATTATCTTTGCAAATTATATTGCCAGAGACACGCGTCGCCTTGGTGCAACAAGTAAGATGTTCTATCTTATTGTAAAGTCAGGTGATCTTAACTATTAATAATCTGCATAACACACTTTATTGCAGTAGCTTGGGGATGCAGAGGTTGAGGGATTTGTTATGGAGCATGTTTCCCCTGTTTGCATGCCTCCTCAGAGAGGTGTGGCCTAATTCCAGTTACTACTGCTTGCTCTCTTGAGGAAATTCTTTCCTTTCTTGGTTGCTTACCAAGTGGAATGCCCTTGACCAACTTGTTTATCCTGCTACTTCTTAAACAAGCATAGGGACCTTTTATTTGTGCATTTTGGGGGGAGAGTGTTTTTAACTGTTACTATACAAAGGGAAATTCATAAGTATTAACAAACATAACAAAATATTTTTTAAAGTAGTAGTTAGTCCTTGTCTTCATTAAAAGATAAACTGCAGGGATAGGAAGGGGGGAGGTTAATCTGATCTGTATTCTGCTACTTCTCTTCCTGGATATATGTAGATGTTCTCGTTAGAGTTTCAGCTCTGATTTGGGAAATGTTTTATTGCCCTTTATGGTTCGAATGTTAGTATAGACTAGCTTGGCTGCCATGGCTGCCAGGACAGTAAGTCTAGAATCCTGGGAGAGCCCTTCCATCTCTGGGCTGTAATGCCATTTCTTTCTGCAGCATCTGAGCACTTCTGGATTCTACCTTGGTCCTTGGTTTCTAGGTGAGGAAAGCATTACTCTACCTGGCCTTCAGTGATTCCTATTCTGGGTTTCTAGCATCTTGAATGCTTTTAGGGACAAGTCACCCACTACTATATAAGTAAACACATTATGTTCCAGACCTTAGGATACAAAGGAGAAGGAAACCTCATTTCTGTTCTCATGATGCTTGCTTGGAGTGGAGTGTAGACTCTCATACTTGGGGCAGGTTTGATGATTAGAAAACTATTTCTTAGGTATAGCCCCGACTCTAATTCCCTTTTTTTCTGTTAACTAGTTGTCTTTCTATTCTCTTAAACCTCTACAAATATTTGAGGATAGTCAATGTCTCGATTTATCCTAGCCATCCCATGCTTCCCAAATCTTGCCTTCCTTAAGTTAAACACCTCTAGTTCTTTCATCTATTCCTCATTTTACATAATTTTGAAGCATTTTAAATGACTTGTTCAAACTTTTCTGTATTTAAAGTGCTGAGATTTGAATGCAGATATGGTTTGATCAGGGCAGAGTGGGCCTCTCACATCTCTTATTCTGGACATTGTATTGCTGTTAGTGTAGTCTAATTGCTACCCTCCTTTTTTGGAGTTACCTTTATTATACTGCGTCATACTAAAAAACCCCAGTTCCTTTTCACATATGTTGTTATTAAAACACATATCCTTCTGGTTCTTGTGTAATTATATTTTGAACCTAAGAATAAGTGCTTTTTAAATTAAATTATTCAATTTTGTTTGTTTTAGTCCATGATATGTTCCTGTACCCTGTGTTTGCTAACTATGAAATCCAGGACAAGTCACTATTTATCTGGGTCTCAGTTTCCATATCCATAGAAAAGGGACTGGATTCTGTTTTCATTTTAGCTACTTATTCTTTCATCTGATGTATTAGCTATCTTTCCTAGTTCCATGCAGTTTGTACATTTGATAAGTATCTCTTCTGGTTTTCTTTTAAGTCATTGGTCAAAAATTTTGGTCAGGATGAAGTCCTATGGTCTGTCATACCTTTAGAGTTGACATCTGTAGCTCTGGGCTTTCCAGACTTCTCTGTCTTGATTTGATAGATTTTAAAATTTTTCTTTTCTTCCAGGGTAAATATCTGAGCCTAATATCAGTATAGTTTCAGTTGATTAGAGGAAGCTAATGTTTATTGAACAACTGTTATTCGCCAGGCTTTTGCATGCTGTTTTATCTACTTTAGTCCTCATATTAACTTCATTTTAATAGATGAAGAAACTGTGACTTAGAAGTCGATCTCATTCAGCTAGTAAGCATTAAAGCTGGAATGTCAATCTATGCTTTTGCTCTATTCGTTATACCACAGCCTATCTAGCTTACCCTACCCTAACAATTCTCGGAAGATTTCTTTGTCTTCGTGTTTTGAATTCTGCACACTTTGTTGAAGCACCTTTTTCTAGTCCAGTTGATGTTTCTGGTTTTAGCTGATCAGCAGAGTTAATTTATCACCCTGAATCCAGAGAATAGTCTTGCAACCAACATTTTAGAACTATTCAAAGTGCTTAAAATAGTTTTTTTTTCTTTTTATTTTTTTATTTCAGCAAATTATGAGTGTACAGATGTTTAAGTTACGTGTGTTGCCCTTGGTTCCCCCCCCCCCCCGAAGTCTGTGTTTCAAATATGTCCATCCTTCGGGTAGTGCGCGTTGCTTAAAATAGTTTTGACATAACTTAGCAGTATCATTATGAACAGAAAGTTGCAAATGATATGAACTCTATATATTAAAGCAGACCATTTATTCAGCAAGTACTTTTCTGAAGCTTCCTGTGTACTAGACACTGTGAATGAGACAGGGCTCTTGCCCTTAAGAGTATCTTGAGTGGGACCTTTATTGATAATGCTTTGTTAGTAATTACTGTATCTCCTTAAAGGTAGTAAAAGTATATTTAAAAATGTTGGCCTTAAGGCTTTAGCGTATCATCATTAGCTAGTTTGTCATTGCTGAAGAAAGGTCTGGGTTCTATTGCTAAACTTGTAGACTAGTTTAAAATACATATAGTACATTGCTTTTTACTTGATATTCCTTTTTATGTAGTTGTTGATTTTCTTTAAAAGTAGTAAAATAGTACTTTTAAACTATTACATTGACTTTAATGTTTTAGTGTTTTTGTAGTTTGGCATTGCTGAAAACAGTCCAGTTTTATTTCGTTAAACTTAGAGCCTACTGTGTTTTGAAATTTGAAGTAAAATACAGGATGGTGGTGTTATTAATTTATTAGGGGGCTGTTAAAATGTGTTTGTTGGAATAGTAAACTTGTCGATAAAAATATTATTATAAAGTATTTTAGGCTGAAACACTGTTGACGGCTCCAAGGTTTCCTACCTTCTCAAAATTCTCTGTTCCCTTGGCTTTTATTTAATGCTCTATTACCCTGGTTTTCTTCCTTTATCTTTAACCATCCCTTCCCCCCCTTTTTTTAAAAAAAATCTTTATCATAATATTTTCTTCTTTCTGCCCCATAAGTGTATGTGATTCCTCAAAGGTCTCTTCTTGGTTCTTTGTAGTTACTCTTATGACAACAGGGCAGTTAGACTAGGAGAGCCAGAGGGCCATATAGGGGATATGAGAGACTAAAGAGGGAATTAGGAAGTAGGAGCTTAGATCATAAAGTGTCTTATAAGCCAAGTGAAGTAGTTTGAATTGAGGGTAGAGAGAGTTTTAAACAGAAAATTAACATGATCAGATTTATATTTTATTCTAATTTTCAATTTTAATTATAAAAATAATACTTGTGAAAAATTCAAACATTGCAGATGTGTAGAAAGTCTATTCCCTCTCTCACTCTCAGGCCTACCTCATAGGGACAATCACTATTAGTAGTTTTGAGATTATTCTTCTGGCCCTTTCTTTTCTGGGTATATATAATCATGCATACACAGAGAGGTTTTTTTTTTCTTTCTCATGAAGAATGGAATAACAATCTGCACTTTGGAGAGATCGCTATACCAGAATATAGAGGATAGATGGATTAGAGAGAGGCAAGGGTAGAAACAGGTTGACCAATTAGGAAACTGTTTTGGTAGACCAGGTAAGAGATGACAGGGGCTTGATTTGGGTTAGGGTGATGGTAGTAGATATGGTGAGAAGCAAATGGATTTGGGATATTTTTAAGAGGTAAAATCAACAGGACTTGCTGATAGATTTGGGGAGAATGGTGAGGGAAAAAGTAGACTGAAGGATGAAAGTAAGGTTTTGACTTACTTAAATTCACTGAGATGGAGAAGACTACAACAGGCATAGATTTTTGTGGGAAGAAAGGGGAGATGATGAGTTATATTTGGATACACTGAATTTGGGATACTTGTGTTTTATTCAAATGGAGTTGTATAATATATGAGTCAGAAAGGTAGGAGAGAAATTTGTCCTAGAGATACCTATTTACGAGTTATCAGTATCCAAATGGTAAATAAAATAATGTGAATAGATTAGCTTGCCTTGGGGAAGGTGGCCAAGGATGGAGTCTTGAAGAACTCCAACATTTAAGGGACAGAAAGAAGAATAGGAGCCTGCAAGGGAGGATCTGCCAGAGATGTCATAGGTGTGATATCAGAGACCAAGAGAAGAGAATTTTTGAGAAGAAGAGAGTAGTCAACAGTGTCATGCTGCAGAAAGTAAGACAAGGACTAAAAAGTCCACTGGATTTGGTAATGGGGCCACTGGTCACTTCATAACAATTTCTATGATATGGGAGTAGAAACCAGATTTCTATCCCATATGCCCCATATCTAAACAGTCACTGAATCCTATCACTTCTTTTATTATTGTCTTTCCCTTTCTCAGTAGCACTTCTTTCCATTTTTTTTTTAGTACTAGACCGTATACATAGTCTTCAAATTAATAGCAGTTTGAGCACCTACTCTCTCGTAGACTCTGTTGGAAATACAAAGACATGTAAGATATGATTCCTTTTCCAAGGAGGGGGAAGTAAAGGGGAGAAGGGAAGTAGTTTGAGCACCTACTACGTGCCAGGCACTTTATATATGATAACTAATTGAATCCTCACAGTAATCCTGTGAGGTCAATACTATGCACCCCCATTTTCTTTTAATAGAAAAAAAACTAATATTCAGAGCTTAAGCGACTTACCCAAGGTCACACAGAGATAGAGCTGGTATTTGAACTCAGATTTGTTTGTCTCCAAAGCCCATGCTTCTTTTTTATAATGCTTTGCTGCTTATGATATAATTTATAAGATAAAATTACACAATAGTTAGATAATAGTCAATTTAAGCAACAGCTTTGAGATAGTCATAGAAGAAACACCACTGTGTGGTCGATTGACTATCACATAAATTGTATAGATGATAATTGCTAGACTTTGAGAAATTTTCAGCATAAAAATTTTCATTATTCTTCCTTGGATTTTTAGTGCCTGGCAGAGAGTAGATGCTTAATAAATGTTTGAATGAATTCAGAGGGAGAGATGACGGTAAGTGGGGGTAGCTAGACAGGGCTTTTAGAAGAGATGGGGTTTAGGTTGGGTCTTAAAAGATGCATATAACTTTGAAATAAAGATGGGGAGGGCTTCCCAGGCAGATAAACAGATTAGGTGAAATATAAGGGGGAGGGAAGCATAAGGCAGAGGTCGCAAACAAGCAGCCTGTATGCTGGATAAGGCCTGTAGATGTGTTTTGTTTGGCCCATGCAATGTTTTAGAAAAATTGGAATTAGTTATCAGCATGTAAAAGTTTTCATAAAAATCTGAATTTCCCACTGCTATTGAAAAGTTTAAAGGTCTGGTAACCTGGAACCCATGTTCCTGCATGGCAAATGAGTAATAGCTGAGTAACTGCCACTCACTCCACTGTCTTCTTGGGTGGATGTCTGCCTTATGTATGTAACCAACTTTGCTCATGTACATTTACTGGCCTAGCCCCTATTAGCAAGTTTGCGACCACTGATGTAAGGTATCTTGGGGTTTGGGGAGGTAGTGGGGCTGGGAGGACTGTGGATAAACCAAATTGGGCTGGAGCAAAAGGCTTTATTAATGTAAATCATTGGGGAATGTATAGGTAGATTGGAAGCAAAATTGTGAAGGACCTTAAATGGCCCCCTATAGGTATGGAGGAACCATTGAAAGTGTTTTGAATGGGGAGTGACATGTTCAAAGTAGTGTTAAGAAGATGAGCCTGGCAGTAGCCTATAGGATGAAGTAAAAGTGGGTAAGGCTCTCTTGGGGGGAAGTCAGATATGGAGCTTTTGTAGTAGTGTAGTCATGAGATGATAAGGGCCTTCCTTGATGTTAGTGGTGGGTTATAAAATAAGGAATGGGATTAAGAGAGATTGCAAAGAGCTAGCAATGAATTAAATGTCAACAGAGGAATCAAAATGGGAGAAAGTCAGGGTCTTTAACTGAAAGAGAAATGAATAGCAGCAGTTAGTTTGGTTATGTTTTGTGTTTGTTTTGTGTTTGGTTTTTGTTATTTTTGTTTTTTTAAATTTTTTTTGTGTGTGTGGGAAGTTGGTGGGGGCAGGTGGAACAGGGAAAATGTATTAAGTAGTGTATGTGTCTGTCTTACATGTTGAAATTTTTAACATTAGTATTATAATTGGAGGTTGTTTCTGCTCTAAGTACTAAACTACTAAAAAGTAAAATGACTTACATGAGAGCCAGTTCTACAGCTCAGGGTAGTTTAGGTGCCTACCTTGCCACTAAACCACACTACTAAGCTGAAAATCACCTTCTTGTGGCTTTGAGCATTTCACTCCACTTTGGTCCTTCTAAATTTCATGGATTAGTGCTTTGGTTATTTTGAATTTCACCTTCCATGCTACAGTTATTAGATTTGTCATATTTGTCTTCCAGTTGATGTAGAACATTCTCATGTTCGATTTCTGGGAAACCTGGTATTGAACCTGTGGGACTGTGGTGGGTAAGTACCATCTGCTTATTTGTTTGTGAAGCTGATGGCAGTAATCATGGCATCTAGTATAATCTGCATGGTGAATATACCTAGAGTAACTATTATTTGTAATAGATACATTGGATAGAAATTACTTCAAAATTGGCACTTGATTAAATAAAGATCTCTGACTTATATAATTGTGAAAGTGTCCTCTGTATGTGACATGTTTAAGTAGCACTAACACAGACTCCATCTGGGTATCCATAGTGTGGTATAAATTATTCCCTCTTTTACAGGGGAATAAATTAGGTTTCTTTTTCAGGTGGCCTGACACCAGTGCCAACCTCTTAGCTGTCACACCTTACTGCTTTGTTCTTAGTTGTTTCGTTAGTTATCTCCAGGTAGTCTGAGCACTATAGATTAGACTCTGAGCACATATTCTCTAACTGAGTTACCTACTTTTGGAAGAGTAGGAGACAGCTCCTCCTCTTACGACCAAGGCATTCACCAAATATCCCACCACAAATGCACATACGCTGTGTTTCTGTGCTGATATTACTTTCTACCCTGCGGCCATTTGCATCTCTGTGATGAACTACTGTAGTACACAGTGGTTAGGAGTGTCAGCTCTGGAGTTAAATTGGGATTTGTATTTCAGTTCTGTTAGCTCTTTCATCTTGGGTAGATCATTTAACTCTTTTAGTACAGTTTCTTCATTTGTACAATAGGATAGCAATGATACTAGCTCATAGGGTTGTTTTGATGACTAAGATAATATGTATAAAAACACATAGCAAAGTACCTCACAAAATAAATAGGTATTATTGTTAGCTCAGTGTTTCCTAGCTCCTAGCATAGAGCCAGCCATAGAGTAGGTGCTCAATGCATATTTGTTGAAAGAATAATGCAATACCCAAATACTCTGTAATACAATGATTCCATTTCTGCTAGTAGATGGATCACTTAACACCCTAACAGCTTTCTCCATAAAAATCCTTCCTCATTATCATTGCTTCCAATTTTCTGTTTCGAGAGTTTAGTCCCAAGTCCCTTGCTTTTAGGCACTAAGATATGATCTTCATTTTTTGCAGATAAGACAGATGAGGTCCAAGGAGATTATAATTCTCCCAAGGTAACACAGCTAATTAATATCAAAGTACAGGACTAGAACCTAGGTTCATGATTTTTTCCTCCACTATACAATGCTACTGTTTTCTGCTAGCCAGCTGGTAATTGATAACTTCTTGGGAAGCGGCATATAGTCTAAGGAGCAAAGAGCAACATTCTCCTAAAAAAGTTATCACTTGAGTCATTTTCATAGAGTTTAGAATATTTGACTATTGAGTTATTCATTCAGCAAATGTTCATTGAGCACTTAACACTGTTAGAACCTGGAAAACAATGGGGAATAGTAATAGACATGGCCCTTGCCTTCAAGGAACTTGTCTGGGGAAATGAATGCTATTAATTAAAAACTCACACAAACAAGTATAATATCACACTTGTGGTAAATATTGAAAATAAGAGGAATGTATTGGTATAAGAGGCTACAGTTAGTGGATTGACCCAAATCAGGGAGTTCATGGATGGTTTCCGTGATGAAGTGTGGATTGAACTGAAATCTAAAAGGACAAGCTGGAGTTAATTAGATGAAGAGGCAGAGGGGTAGCATATGAACCAGAATAAACAGCATGTGTAAAGGTCCCATGGAGGATAAGCTATGGGCCACTTGAGGAATTGAGAGAAGGTCAGTATGTTTAGAACATAAGGAGGGGCAGAGGGTGGTGAAAGTTGCGGTTCAGGAGGTAAGAAGGTAAGACCAGACCTATTTGCTATTATTTGCCCTTTGAATTTAAGCCTTAAGATTGTCTTTTCCATTAATCAAGCCAATGAAAACAGATCATAAGCAGGGGTGACTGAACTGAGGACTTGCTTACTATCTAGATTTTTTTCCTACCAGGCAAGACACCTTCATGGAAAATTATTTCACCAGCCAACGGGACAACATCTTCCGAAATGTGGAGGTTCTGATTTATGTCTTTGATGTGGAGAGCCGTGAACTGGAAAAGGACATGCATTATTACCAGTCGTGCCTGGAGGCCATTCTGCAGAACTCTCCAGATGCCAAAATCTTTTGCTTGGTACACAAAATGGATCTGGTACAGGAGGATCAACGGGACCTGGTAAGAAACAGAAAAGGTGCTGCACCAAATGGTTGTTATGCTTTACAAACTTCTTTTGTAGAGGTAGAGGTAAATTTGTACCATTTTGTTTTTTGGGAAAAAAGTCTCAGCATAAGCTTTCAAAATATAGTTCTGTCATGTGCTTTAAAAAACATTCTTATTAGCCAGGTGTGGTGGTGTGTGCTTATAGTCCCAGCTACTTGGGGGGCAGAGGCAAGAGGATTGCTTGATCCCAGGAATTTGAGGTTGCAGTGAGCTATGACAACGCCACTACACTCTAGCCCCAACAACAGAGCAAGAGCCTGTCTCAAAAACAACAACAACAACAAAACAACACTCTTAAACACACTTCTTTTTGTCCATGGTAAGGGAAAGACAATATTAATTTAGCAAATAATTTTCAAATTTGGTAAGGAATCTGACCATGTGATACCACTAAGAAGCCATTATTTATTTATTTTTTTTTCTTTTTTTTTTTTATTTCTGCATGTTATGGGGGTACAGATGATTAGGTTA